GAAAAAGGAGACAATGTTATTCAAGTTCCCTGTGGCCACCTTCCTCAGGACTTACCATGCTGAAGCTATTAGGAGCGTCTCCTACCCAGACATTTCATTTCAAACATATCTTTAGAGTTGGTCTTTTAATTTTTAATGCATTTTTTCTTATTCACTTTCAAAAAGATGAAAAAAATCTATGAAAACTAAATATTCTTACCACCCAGAGATCACAGCTTTTAGCACCCTTCTGGATCTTTCTCTGGGAGGGAAAAAAATAATATATAATAGGAAACATGGTCCTGGGCTTCTGTTGTAAATAATGAGCTGGATCTCATCAGATGCTTTTGCTCTATCAACTGGGATGATTAATGCATTCTTGCTTCATTAGTGTGATGCATTTAGATATATTAGGAGTTAATGCTATTTTGCTCGATGGAGTTTTATGTATTGCTTGATTCTTTATGCTAATACCAAGGAATTTACATTAGTGTTCACATACAATTTTATTTGATTCTAGGCTGCCCTTGCACAGTTCATAAAACTCAAGTCTATAAACTTCTCTTCTAGAGTGATATGTAAGGGATTTCCTCCTTGTACTCTCTACATTTCACCTCTCAGCCTTTGGATTGCATACTTAGTTCTCAGTCTGTATTTGTCTTTCTGTTTTTCCTGATTATATATTTTTCTTACTACTTATAGACATATATAGACCTCTATTCCAGTTTTAGTTCCTTAGAGTAATTTATATTTGTTCATTTCATCTTAGGTTTTATATTTTCATCATTAAGTAAATATCTATTTTTATAGTACATATAAGTGTACACATCAATAGGATTTACTGTGGTATTTCCATATAGGCATACAACATGTACCGCTATGTCTGTCTGCGCTTCTTCCACTCTCTCCTGTGCCTGTATCCTTCCCTGTCTGGCTTGTTTTGTTGAACATGATGACTTTCAATTCTGTTGAATTTTCTGAAAATGATAGGACCTTATTCTGTTCAGCTAAGTAATATTTTATGGTATGTGTGTATATGGTATGTATGTGTGTATATGAAATGCATGTATGTGTATATATGATGTGTGTATATGGTATATGCATATGTGTGTATATAATATGTGTGTATGTATGTTGTTTCCTTTATATCTTTATCACTTGAGCAATAGGCCAATTCTTTTTTTTTTTTTAAAACTAGTCTAATTCTTACTGTTCAGAATAGTGCCATGGTATCGCTTTGGTGTGCTGACTTCATTTCTTTAGGATATTCACTCAAAAGTAACAATAGTTGGATCATATGGTAGTTCTATTTTTAGTTTCTTTAGGACCCTCCATTTCCACAGTAACTGGACTAATGTACATTTTGTCATATCAATTGATTTTCAACTTGACAGGATCTTCTGTCACTTATGAGATAAACCTCTGGGAATGTCTAGTTTCTAGATTGAGTTAACTGAGGTTAACTCTCTGGTCTGGAGGCTCAGACTGAATAGAAAGGAGAAATAAGGGCACGCCAGCATTTGTCTCTCTGTTGTGGGTGCACGTGACCAGCTGGGTCGCAGTGTCTCTGCCCTGCCTTCCCCGTCAGGAAGGACTACACCCTCCTCCCTTTGTTAAGTTGCTTCTGTCGGGTGTGCTGTCACAGGAACAAGGGAAGTCACTGGGACTTCAGTGATGGCATCAACACTGGCCTTCCTTATTACTGCTCTGTGCTTATTCTGGATCTGTTTAAGTTGTGAGTATCACCTGTATTAATTACTGTAGATCTTACACGTATAGATATTGAACTGTTTCTTTTAGCTTCCAACCTCCAAGAACAAAAGTTTTTAAAACATCAACTAAAGATCCTTTGGATTTCATTGCTATCTGTTGTCATATCCTTTCATCATGTCTAATTTTATTAATTTGGGTTATCATGCTCTCTCTCACTCTTCTTTCCTTCCTCCACCCCTTCTCCTTCTCTCTGCTCTCTCCTATGCACCATGGCTAAGAATTTCTCTGTATTCTTGATAATGTTTATCTTTCCAGACAGCTAACTTCATCTCACTGATTTCTTTAGTAGTGTTCATTTTTCCCCCTCTGGTCTTCATTATTTCTCTCCATCTGCTCATTTGAGGTTTGGATTGCTTTGTTTTTCTGAGACCTTGATGTGTATCAGTAGGCTACTTATTTATGACTTCTTAATGTAGGCACATATTGCAGTAAACACCTAGTAAGTGGTGTTTTTACTTTCATTTGATTCTAAGCATTTTCCCTGTTTTCTTCAGTGATTCAATGATCACTCAACAGTTTATTGCTCAATCTCCAGGTGTTTTCATGTTTTCCTTTTACCATGTTTATTTGAAAATTTCATGCATGTATGAAATACATCTTGACCATATCGACCCCCATTCCCTCCCTCCAAATTCCTTCAGCTTATATTTCAATATTTTCTTTCTTTGCTTTTCTATTGAGTTTTAGTTTTAGTTCATTATGATGGAAGATATAAGAAAATATTTTAGTTTTTAAATATTTGATAAGATTTCTTTTATAGCTTCAATGATCTGTTTTGGAGGACAGTGTCTTCACAGCTGTCATGCACATTCTACAGACATCTCTTAAGTCTGTTCCGTGTGGTCCAGCTTGACTTTGAAGCTTTTCTGTCTTGATAGCATGTTCATTGGTGAGAGTTGGTGTGTTGGGTTCACCGTTGTTTTATCTGGACCTGTAGCACTTGTTTTGTGAAATTGAGTGTGTAACAATGTGCAGTATATATTTTCACCCATCGAATCCTCCTGATGGATTGTTTCTTTTGTTAATGGATGATGCTCTTCTTCATCCCCTCTAATTCTAGCTTAACGTCTATTACCCATCAGTCCACCTGTTCCTGCTTGTTTGTAGCTTCTGCATGCTGGGTAAATCCCTTTCCAGCCTTTCCATCTCAGTGTGTGTATCTCTGCCAGTGAGACTGGATTTTGTCCTCTCATACGCTAGACTGCAGTTTTTAGTTGGAGAGCTAACAACCACTTACTTAGGTTCTGGGTCAATATTGAGAGTTACTTGTTATTGTAATTTTATTGGATTTTTTTCTTGGTTTATTTGTATACCGTTTGTTCTTTTCTGTCTTCCTTATTTATTTTAGGAATTTGCCAAATGCTGAGATAAATATGTTTGTTTAATTCCTTATTCTTCTATTCCTGTTGTAAAATATCTTCTGTGATTTTTCTTGGTTTATCTATCTGTACACCATTTGTTCTTTTCTGTCTTCCTTATTTATTTTAGGACTTTGCCAAATGCTGAGTTAAATGTGCTTATTTCATTCCTTATTCTTCTATTTCTGTTGTAAGATAACTTCTGTGATGCTAGTTTGGTAGTCAAGAATTGCTTTAGTTTGTGCTTATCTTGGAAAGCATCTCCGTTATACTAAAGAATTCTTTGGTCTGTATGGTAATGTTATCATGCGGTTGTTTGCATTTCTCCATGTTTTCCTGGCATTGGGCTTTCTGCAGAAAGGTCTGATGTGACGTGGATGAGTCTGTCTCCCAAATTACTTATTTTTTGTGGCTTTCTGAGTCTTCTTTGTTGACATTTTATCTGTAATGTGCCCTGGAAACATGCTTTTCTGGTCACATCTTTTTAGAGTTCTAAATGCCTCTTGACCTTAGATGTCTGTTATTCTCCCTTGATTTAGAGACCTTTTTTTTTTCACTGTAATTTCAGTGATTATGTTTTCTGTGCCTGCAGTTTGTGTTTTATCCCCTTCTACCTGTGAATTCTTACTATTAACTCCTTAAATGACATCTTGAGGAAAGTCACCAAGCTAAGCCCTAAAACTTGCCCTAAAAACCGTGGTTTTTATCTTCCCTCTCAGAGTGCATGAATATTGATAGCTGTTCATCCCCATGAACAGTGGTTAGATTTACTAGTTGTAGACATTTAAATAATAGGTGATATCACTTCATTGTGGCTTGTTTGCATTTTCTTCACAGCTAATGATACAGGAGCCTCATGCTTGGTGCTTATTTGTCTCTGTCTTCTTTGGTAAATCACCTGTTCAAATATTCCCTCTATTTTTATTGAGCTGTTTAGTTTCTTTGAATTTTGTGATTATATATATTATATATGTGACTACATATGTCTGTATACATATATGTTGTATATATCCATATATATGTCTATACACACACTGTTATAGTGATATAATGGCTTCTTAAATCAAAGACAGGAGTTCTTAATTTCAGTAAAATCCAAGAAACTTCATTTCTTAACATAGCCCTGGGGATAATCAATTTATGTTTGAAGTTATTTATTCTAGGATATCCACTAGGGAAAAACTGGAAGCACAGAAAAACTGGGACAGCAGAATCTACTTAAATAAATTATGCTGATCTAGAAATGGAATGGCCCCATCGTAAAGGACAGAGGGACTAAAGTCCGTCGCTTTAGGTTTTTATGCTAGTGCGGAGGAACACATCGGAGTTCCTGGTTGTGCACTGAGATGTTGACAATGGTGATTACTGAAGAGTGAAATCATAACTACCTTATATTTTCCTTCTTTCCTATGTGGTTTATGTTCTGTTTAGAAAACTTCTTTCTGTCTAGAAGGTAGGCAAATAACTAATTATTTGGAAAAGAAAGTATTTTAAGTTCTTCATAACCTCGGTGTTGCATGTTCAGAGACCATTGAAACAGCCCCCAGTGTCCTGAGAGGGTGTTGGGTGCGCACACTGCTCCTGTGCTGTTTGCCTTTAGCTACCTTGGTATTTACTTCCCAGCACTGACTTCTGGAAGCCCCTCTGTTATCACTTCTGTCTTTTGGTTCCACAAGTGACTTGTGCTGTAGGCAAATGTGTAAGGATGAATTACCCATCTCAGGAAAAGCAAGGAGGGATCGCCAAGTGAGGCATCGCACTAGTGGGTAGGGAGCCTGTTTCCTGGCTTGTGATATGCCTGGTTTTGAAGTCTCATCAGTGCTTCCAAGATGTCGCCTGGCACTCCTGAGTCCTGCGTTTGACTCTTGGTTGTGTTTTTGTTACACAAAGGAACTATCAAAAAACCTCGAACTAAGCACCAACAGTTTCCAGCGGCAATTGCTTGCGGAAAGGAAAAGGGCGTTTGAGGCTTATGATGAAAATAAACTTCTTCAAAAGGAGCTGCAGCGGCTCTATCACAAGCTGAAGGTAGGCATGTCTTTTTAGATCCCATTATTTCTCCTGTCATATAAATTACATGAAAACCTAGTATTTTTTTTAAAAGTGGTCACTATTCATATTTGTTACTATGTAATTTACAAAATTCTAGTATTATATCTGTCACTTAGAAAGAAAAGCATTGTTAATATAATTGCTATAACAAAGTAAAGTACTGTATATGCCAGTAGCAACAATGTAAATGAAATAAATTTTACAAAATTCTGGAAGAGAACCATGGGACTGAGCATGTGTGTCACATTCTTAAAAGACCCAGTATTCTTCACATGACCCAGGACTGCTTGCTTTTCACGTTGATGCCACCTTCATTTTGTTTAGAGGAAACCAATTCACATTAGTTAATTGAATTAAGCATATTTTCATTTTATGGAGGTCATTGATGGGTTGAAAGTTTGTTCAGAATTCTACAAAATTATGCCTAACCTTATAGAGTTTTCTCTTTGCTGCACAACTTCTCAGAAAAAAGGCATTACTCCCGTATTGTCAAGATCCCTTGGGTTGAAAACATGATTTAATTTTTAAGTCAGTAATAACCCAAAACACATTCTTAAGAAAGATTCCACTTTTGTCTCCATGGCTAAGCCTGGATCACAGATGGGCATTACTCTCTCTATGGGGGGAGGAAGTGGAGCGTGCTTCCCTCCCCCTTCTCCCCATTCCCTCCCCCTCTCCCCACCCCCCCTTTTCCCTTTTCCTCCCCTTCTCCCCATTTCCTCCCCCTTCTTCCCTTCCCCTTCTTCCCCTTCATTCCCCCCTCCCCGTCCTCTTCTTTCCCCTCCTCAGAGATACTTCTTTCTCTAGTTTGACAGTTACAATGGAGAGCTGACCTAGAGATGTTTCAGTTTTATAAAGAAGGTGTTAGTTATCACACTGCAGGTGTTTGTTTAATTTCAAACTGATTATCTTCCTTTCTTGTATTGGGTTTATTTTCAGGAAAAGGAGAGGGAATTGGATATAAAAAATATATACTCCAATCGTCTGCCGAAGTCATCTCCAAAGAAAGAAAAAGAAGTTGTTGCAAGAAAAAATGGTATAGTAGATTACTGCTAAAACTGGAGCCCTGTGATGTGTGGGCTCTTGAGTCATGAGAGTGAAGGGGAGGAGCCTTGGGGTATATTTGATCTGATTTTTACAGGTCAACGTTGCTAGTAATCACAGTCTTTCAACTTTTGTCTTTCTAAGGAGAAGTTATTAAAATCCTGTCTTAGAGGGACAAAGAGATGACTGGGGTGGGGATGGGGGTTAAGAGCGCTTGCTGATCTTCCAGAACAGTCATGTAAAGGTGGCTCACATTGACTTGCAACTCCAGATCCAGGACATCTGATGCCCTCTTCTGGGCTTCTGGAGCACACACACATTCATGGCACACAGACACAGAGACAGCCCATGCACATACATTAAAAAAAAAAATTCACAAAATTAAAAAAAAATACGTTTTATGCAGCCTTTTAAAAAATGTCTATGTGTTCCTGTGTTGAAGCATCCCAAAATATGTTAATGTACAGCTTTTATGTTCTCATTAAACTTAATTTTAATAAAAGGTTAAAAACCTTATTGTAATTTTGATAGCATAAAATATATAATTATTTCCAAGTATTAAGCATCTAGCTTTAACAGTTGTATCTTTCTTGCTGCTGTTTCATCCATTCCTTCCACTTCCTAGTGTATTTTAAAGCAGATCCAGATACTACATCACTTCACTTATACTTTGTATTATTGTGCGATTTTCCTTTTCCTAAACAAAAGTATAATTGTCCTGTGAATTAGAGAAATTTTAAAGTATTCACTTTGCAAAAGATGATTATCATTTGTAGTATAATTGCCCTCAGATCACATAATTGCTAGTTAACTCTTCATGAATGAAGTGAGTCCTCTCACTTAGATGAATATTGCCGGTTGAATATATGTTAACGTTATTCAGTGGGGTTAGAAAACTTGTTTATGGTTTTCTTGGTAGTATCATGCCAGAGTGACTTTACCGACCTGTGCACAAAGGGGGTGCAGACCTCTGAAGACTCTGAGCTGGAGGAATTCCCTGTCATGCCACAGACTATCCTGTGTTATGAGAACAAATGGGACAGACCAGAATCTCTTTCTTCGGTGAGTGTAGCACGATGGCTAGAGCCCAGCCGCAGGAAATCTGTTTTCACAACTGTGGCCGAAGTTTTCACAAGCTGCCCCCCAACCCCCGTTCTGTATCCCCTGGGGAAGGGTGCTAGTTACCTTTCTTGTTTCTTGACCAAATACCTCATAAGATGCATCCCAAGAAAGGAAGGGCTCATTCTGACTCTTGACTTAGGGGATGCCGTCTCTCATGGTGAGGAACGTGAGACAGCCAGTCATATCACAGCTAGTCAGGAAGCAGAGGTGAGTGTGGCTGCTCAGGTGGCTCTCTGCTTTCCTCTTCAGTCGCCAGCCATGAGGGCAGGACCACACACATTTACCGAGGGCCTTCCTCCTCAGGTTCTTTTGCTTTTAAGATTTATTTATTTAATGTACTCTACCTGCATGTATACCTTTATGCCAGAAGAGGGCATCAGATCCCATTACAGATGGTTTTGAGCCTCCATGTGGTTGCTTGGAATTGAACTCAGGACCTCTGGAAGAGCAGCCACTGCCTTTCCTCTGAGTTATCTCTCCAGCCCCAACCTCAGTTCTTAGGGTTACACTGAGATCTTTATCTCCTAGACAACTGATTCTAAGCTGACAATGAAAGTGGACCATCTTGGGGACCAGCAAAAAAGTTCATGACATTATTCAATTTCAATGCTACATAATTTTTAATTAGAAATTTAGCTATAACGTAGATTTGCAAGATTCAGTGTGGCTGTCAATGCCTGTGTTCTGCAATTCAACACCATCTTAGTTGGCTACCTCAGCTGGTTAATGGCTATTTCTGGTTAGGTAGATTAGTCAGATTTTACTATAAAATACACAGACCAAAGCTACTTTTACAGCTTACCTCATCACATGGTTGTTGGTTTTGTTTTCATTATTTTGATTGGTTCTGATATATCTTGTAATTTTTTTCCTTTAAAAATTTAGCTCAATTAAGAATTCTTCTTGAAGAATCTTTCAAAACATGGTCACTTGACTTATTACGTGAAGATTTGATTTAATTTCTAACTTGGTAATCATGCTTAATGGATAATTTGTCATGTTTAAAGACCATTTCCCCCTTTTTATATGAATTTGTATTTTTGAAATGCATGATAGTACCTGGAATACCAAGAGCGAAATGAACGTGGGGCAGAGATTCTAAACTCGGAAAAAGAAGAAAGATGCAATGAAGATCAGGAAGGATACTCTGGCAAACAGGAGGCGGGGAAGCCTGAGAGGGGTAAGAGAGTGTGTAAGCAAATAGCGAGCTTTGCATGGTTGCAGGGACAGAGAAGAGGTGGAGGCAGCAGCAGCGGCAGCACACAGGAGTCAGAACAATGGGATGGAATCACAAAAGGAAGAAAAGGAAGGCTGGAAGGGGCTTAGGAATTATGAATAAATTAACTTCAGAGAATTTAGATGAAACAATGTTTAATCAAAGAGGAGAACTATTCCTGTAACTCAATGAGGAGTTAACTGAGCAAGCCTTCTGCTGTGTTGGCCTTGATCTCTAGGTCATGCAGTAAGTGCAACACAAAAATCAGTGATCTACAAGGCCCTGAGTATTCCTATAATTTTTTTACTTTAATTTGTAAATATTTATAACATTTCCTATAAGTTCAGAGAAACAGTTCGCATAGTTTAGATGATGGAAATGAAGTTCACTGTTATACACAGACCAAAGCTACTTTTACAGCTTATCTCATCACAATTTTATATAGGTTGTTAGTTTTATTTATTTAAGTCAAGTTCATTTCCATCTGTATAGAATGTGTTAGAGGTTTGGGTACCAAGAGTCCAGACTGACTTCCATGCCCCATTAGTTCCATGGTAGTTGTTTACAGAGAAATCTTATTTGTTTTAAGCTTAAATTCATGGAACAGAAATTTGTGTTCCAGTTATGCTTTAAGTTGTTAACATACATATTGGATGGGAATGTTAGCATGTGTACTGGATTGAAATGTTTGCATGTGTACTGGATGGGAATGTTTGCATGTGTACTGGATGGGAAATGGTAGTTGTATCACTTTTGACCAGTAGCCAAGCAAGATGCTTTCATGTGTTAAGCCACAGAAAGGAAAGTTGTTACGGTCAGTTCATTTTAGGGAACAGGAGAAAGAACAGAAGACCATGGCTTGGTTGCTTTGACTATCTCTTCACTCCCTGTTCCATATGGGTGATCTGATATCAAAATGTACGCCCTTTACTGAAATCATGATATTTTTATACTTTTAATTCTTTCACTTGAAAATGATTTAAAAATTATAGAAAACTGCCAAGAATGGCCTGAAGAAAACAAAGTTTTTCAAATGAATTCCGCACCTCATGTCTGTACCTTAAGAACATGGCATGTATGTCCTGCAGGCACAGACCTTGCCTCAAAGCTCTCTGGCATCCTCCCCACGCTTCGGGAGCTTTAACTCTGACACCTGTAGCTAGTCTGTGGTCATACTGCGATTTCATTGGTAGACACGAGATTGTTCCTTGAGGCATCTTCTTCCCTCAGAACTTGATCATAAATTGTGCTTAGTTCTCACCTCTAGGGTCATGTTTACTGTGAAGTATTTTTGCTTATGTTTTTTTAGGCTGTGCAATTAATATTTTTGATAGTTACATACCTTTTTTAAAAAATAGAATATTCTTCTTCTGAGATGTAACTGAAATTTTCTCTTGATTTGAGCTAGTGCAGTTCTGAGTTCTGTGTAAGGGCTGCTTTCTCAGGACAGCCAAGTATTTATGTTTGAGCTCCTTGCTCTTCCTGTCTCCCGCACACCATGAGTTGTACATTCCTGCATAGAGAACCTTCCTACTGCCACACTGAAGGTCAGGGTCCAATCCATGTGAACTACTTCTGAATCCAGAATGCCAAGTGTAGAAACAAAATATTATGATGTCCATTCTCCTATCTTAGCATGCCAAATGTAGATTAAAAGACGTTTGCAAAAGATGGTAGCCAAGTTCTCCTATTTAGAAATACTAACTGCTATAAAATTCCTGTCTTTAAATTTTATTTTATACAGAATGGGAAAGAGAAGAATTTGATAAAATGAAAGGTAAGACATCTTTACTAGGAAAAGCAGAGAAGCCAGTGCTGGAGACTGGAAGGTTTCAAGGAGAAATGTATCAAATTCAGAATGCTGATAAACTTGAAGACGAGGCAGAAAGACTAAAGACAGAAATGCTTCTTGCCAAACTGAACGAGATCAACAGAGAACTCCAAGAACCTCAGAACCTCAACCGGCCCCCTTTGCCATTGCTACCTAATTTTGAATCAAAATTGCATTCTCCAGACAGAAGCCCCAAATCATACACATTCTCTGAGTCTTCAGACAGATCATTCAATGGACATCACTTGTCAGACATGAGTTTTTTAACTCCCAGAGGAGAAGGCCGGAGTCCAGGACCGATTCGGAGTCCAGGACTAATTCGAAGTCCAGCCCCTCCAGATGAGTTTGCATTTGGTGGCTATGTGCCTTCATTTGCAAAAATGTCAGGGAAGTCAAATCCACTTAGCCAAAAAAGTAACCTTTTAGATTTTCAAAATAACAGTTTAGAAAGCCTAGGTAAAAACAGTGTAGATTTAATTTTGAGAAGGGAGAAAAAAGCGAACCTAATGGAGGAGCTGTTTGGCCCCAGCACCAGCAGCACCACCGTTTCTTCCAAGAGTGGTGAGACACATTTTCTGGCTGCCAGCAGAGAAGACTTGGACCCTCTTAATTTCCCCTCTGGGGACAAAAGCAGCAGAGTTCAGGAGCCTGGTGATGAAGATGAAGACTTTTTCCTCAGTGAAGGAAGAAGTTTTAATCCCAACAGACAGCGGCTGAAGCATACAAGCAATAAGCCAACAGTCACAGCTGTTGACTCTGTTGACGAGGACATTGAAGAGGTCACACTCAGATGACTGACTGGAGCGCACAGAGTATATGTGTATATATTTTTTAAATTGTAAATATTAAAGTATTTTAATACAGTATTTATTATAAAAACTTAAATTTCTAATGGTAAAATAGACTTACTAGGGAGTAGGTCTTAGCAACCAAATACGGCACACTTGAATGAATAGCGCCATACCACGTGACCATGTTGCTAAGAATGCTGTTTTTGTTTTGAAATGAACTGAAAGGAGAGTTGCTGCTTCCTTTTTTTTCTGTTTTTACAACTGGTCTCACTTACTGAGCTGGCCCTGTGGGAAGTTTTACTTCACTAGAATCTTTCTCATTTCCTACTTTTACCTCTGTTGATTTTTGATCGAATCTCGCTGAGCCTAAGTATTGTCTTCCCATTGATGGCTAAATGGAAATTAAGGGTCTCCAGTGAAGACCCCAGTTAGCAAAGAGCAATGGGACTTGGAAGCTGTACCCTAGTTTGAGGTGACAAAGCCAAGCTACTCGCGAGTGGTGGTGGCAACAACCTTGGGACTTGCTCTGGAATTTGGGGTATTTACTGGGGAGCCCAAAACACTCAGTGCTGCTCGGCTGGCCACTTAAGTGGGTCACGGAAGGCATTTTTTGCCCTGCGCGGTGCCCTGTGTGGCTCCAGGAGGCTTAGGCACTGTGTTACTCCTCTCCTTTTGTACACTCGAACTCTGGTGGCTGCTGGCAGATTCCCTAGCAAACACAGGAAGGAGAAGAAATGTCAGTACAACACAGAATGGTTTCCAGTTTAATTATGTTTCCAGAGTCCTGGTTTGGGAAATTTTAATAAATAATTTTAAGATTTGAACTTGTCCTCAAACTCAGCCGACAGAAGTGTGATAGTATTGGGTTTATACAGGACTGATGTTGATGCTACCGTGGGTAGAAGTGTTTAGCATCAGGGCACCTGCCACGCAGAGTGGACGCGATAATCTTCTGTAGAAAGGCGTGGTTTCCTTACCCTCAGTTCAGGACAGATGCAGAGGCGGATGCTGAGCAGGCCTGCTCTGCTGCCGCAGTGCTAGATCAGCCAAGGAGAAACACTGTGTGTAACGGAGCGACGGAGCAGTGTGACCATTTGTTCATGGTGTGGGTCGTATGGTCGTCCAGGCATTCATGCTGACTAGGGGCGGGAGTTCCCATGGTATCTGGGGTTCTTCTCAATGCTGATTTGGGAATACTGCTTGGTATTTGGTAAGTCTTTACCTGGTTAGGCCTCTCATTCCCGGCTGCACTGCCTGTCACCTCCTGGACCAGCTTCTCGTCATTCATTGGGAACAGACTCTCCTTAAAGTACTACATAGTATGTTAAAGCTTCTCTCAAGGAGGATTTTAGATCTTCTGTGAGTAAGCATTTGCTATATTGCAAATCACTGTAATATATGTAAACGTGTTATTTGTGATACAGTTCTTGATCAAACATTATGTAATGTTAATTTTGTTTGTAGCTGTAAGTTTTCTACTGAAGAATTCTAATTTTATAGTTTTTAAAAAAACTTTTTCAGAAAAATTTTATTCATTACTTTAATTAGATTTATGTCCTGAAAGTCTATTTAACCCAATGAGCCAAGGATTATTAAAATTAAGACAAATTAAGTTAAAAGTTTAAAAGCATTCTGATGTTTAGTGTTAGAACTGGATATTAAAATGTGCGGAGCTTAGTGAGCCAATCAGTTTTTTCTAAATGTCAGGTTAAATTTCTTTGTACTCAGAACTCTTACTAATAAACATTTAAAACACTCCATGACTCTTTATTTGAACGACCTTTTATAGTTAGGAGGTATTCAGTGGAAACAGGATTGGGACCCCTCATCCGCCTGTTCCGTTGTTTAGCGGTTTTGGTGGAAGCCCAGAATTTGAACTAATTCAGGATAGACAGTGTTCCAGTCTCATCAGATAATTGTAGTTCCAATTAATTATTTCCAACTTAATAGCTGTTGCAATGACACACATTTCACATGGTAATACAGAGGCGTGCAGGCAGGGAGGGTTAAACTGAATCGTAAACACGGGCCTCTTTCCTGGCTGACCCGGTGCTTCCTGATCATCTTCATTTCGTTTTCTAAACTGGTGTCCCTGGCTGGCCAGGACACAGGGAAAGGAAATTTGCATCCTAGTGATGACGCGAGTCACCGTAACTTGGCAACAGAGAATACCTGTGGAACCTTTGTCTCAGCTTCACGGTGCGTACCTTCTCGCATTAAAGTCCGTCTAAAAAAGAATCAAAAGTGCTCGCCTCATTGAGGGTGCCCTGCCTGTATTAGGTGGGTAGAGACTCACCCACAGACACTGCCCTTATCTGGCTCCTCATGTGGTGTGCTGTGGCTTCCTCAGCTCCTAGTGGTCTCCCGTGGTCCTTGTGATGGGTACAGGTGAGTAAAATCCTGGAGCTGATGCTCTGCCAAGTGCCCGTCACATTATCAGCGCTTGATAAACAGCTCTTGTTATCATAGCTAATTATGAGTTTCATGGAATAATTGAAGTTTGCATATTCCCACCAGCAGCAATGCAGGAGTGTTCCCTTTACCCCACATCCTCTCCAGCATAAGTTGTCATCAGTGTTTTTGATCTTAGCCATTCATTTTTTTTTTAATTTTTATTAAGCTCTACCTTTTTCTCTGCTCCCCTCCCTACCTCTCCTCTCTTCTTTAATCCTCCCCCAAGGTCCCCATGCTCCCAATTTACTCAGGAGATCTTGTCTTTTTCTACTTCCCATGTAGATTAGATCTATGTATGTCTCTCTTAGAGTCCTCATTTTGTCTAGGTTTCCTGGGATTATAATTTGTGGTCTGGTTTCCTTTACTTTATGTTTATAAACCACTTGTGAGTGAGTATATGTAATAATTATCTTTCTGGGTCCATGTTACCTCACTCAAAATTATGTTTTCTAGATCCATTCATTTGCCTGTTAATTTCAAGATATCATTTTTTCTGCTGTGTAGTACTCCATTGTATAAATGTACCACATTTTCCTTATCTATGTTTTGGTCGATGGGCAGTTAAGTTGTTTACAGTTTCATACTATGACAAACAATGCTGCTATGAACATAGTCAAGCACATGTCTTTGTGGCATGATTGAGCATCCTTTGGATATATACCCAAAAGTGGTATAACTGGGTCTTGAGGAAGGTTGTTTCCTAATTTTCTGAGAAATCGCCACACTGACATCCAAAGGGGTTGTACAAGCTTGCATTCCCACCAGCAATGCAGGAATGTTCCCTCTACCCCACAACCTTTCCTGCATAAGTTGTCATCAGTGTTTTTGATCTTGGCCATCCTTACAGGTGTAAGATGGAATCTCAGAGTTGTTTTGATTTGCATTTCTCTGATGACTAAGGCTATTGAACATTTCCTTAAGTGTCTTTCATCCACTTTAGATTCCTCTGTTGAGAGTTCTTTGTTTAGATCTGTGCTCTATTTTTTTTATTGGATCATTTGTTCTTTTGATGACCAGTTTCTTAAGTTCTTTGTATATTTTGGAGATCAGACTTCTGTCCGATGTGGGGTTGGTGAAGATCTTTTCCCATTCTGTAGGCTGACATTTTGTCTTGTTGACCATGTCCTTTGCTTTACAGAAGCTTTTCCGTTTCAGGAGGTTCCATTTATTAGTTATTTCTCTCAATGTCTATGCTATTGGGGTTACATTTAGGAATTGGTCTCCTGTGCCAATGCGTTCAAGTGTACTTCCTACTTTCTCTTCTATGAGGTTCAGTGTGGTTGACTTCATGTTGAGGTCTTTGACCCATTTGGACTTGAGTTTTGTGCATGGTGATAGAAATGGATCTATTTTCATTCTTCTAGATGTTGATACCATTTGCTGAATATGCTTTCTTCTATTTTATATTTTTTACTTCTTTGTCAAAAATCAGGTGTTTGTAGGTATGTGTATTGATATCTGGGTCTTTGATTCATTTCCATTGGTCCTTCTGTCTGTTTTTATGCCAATATCAGGCTGTTTTCAGTACTGTAGCTCTATAGTAGAGTTTGAAGTCAGGTACTGTGATGTCCAGAAGTTCTTTTATTGTACAGGATTGTTTTGGCTATCCTGGGTTTTTTGCTTTTCAATATGAAATTCAGTATTGTTCTTTTGAGGTCTGTGAAGAATTTTTCTGGGCATTTTATTGAATCTGTAGATTGCTATTGGTAAGATGAGCATGTTTTTTTAAATGCCAGAGATGGTGGTTACTGCTTTTGTTGCCTTTGCCTTGTTATTTCCCCCAAGAACTTTTTCCTGAGAAGCTGGTACTTTATCAATCATTGCTCCCTTTTCTAGAATCAAGGAAAATATAACACATGTTATAACATATACCCAGATTTCAAAGGTGGAATATTGCACTCAATACTCACAACATAAGAAACCAAACCAAACCAAACAAACAAAAAATCCAGTTGTGCACCAGTGTGTCTGTACTCTACACAAATAGCTTACACAAAATCGATTGCTTTTGCTGTCTCTTGTTCTCTGGTAATCTTTCAGTAAGAATATTGAGTTGGGAGCTTCAAGCTTTCATGATCGCTCCAAGTTGGCACTATCTCCCTAAATCTCCTACGAACAGGCGGAAGTGTCACTGGCCCATGTTATGCCACGATATGCCCACCCTCTGTGCTGGTTACTCTGGCAGGGAGGGGTGGACTCCCTGTACTTGCTCTGGTCAGAAAATGTCAGGTTTGCATGAATGGGAAGGCATGCTTCCACTGATGAAGGAAGTTTAGACAGTGGGTGGCAGCTGGGGAGAGAGTTACTTGTTTGCGTGCTTGCTTGTTTCTTTTTAACAGTGTGGCCTCTGGTAGGTTGAGTCTGATCCAGTGGTTGGCATAACCCAACACCCATGAGTATATGGACTGGAGTTAACATTTTCTAGAAATGAAGTTGGGAGGAGGTGGATCTGAGAAGAGTTGGGAGGGAGTGGAAGGACGAATGTGATCAAAATACCTTATATGTGTGTATTACATTCTTCAAGAATAAAAAACCTTTTTATTTGAAAATTTTAATGGTTTATTTCTGATGTGTACCTCTATATACATGAATATATTCATCCTGTTCCTAACACAAAATAAAAATTAGAAGTCAAAACAGGAGAGAAAAACATTTGCCTTTGAGGTCAGGAAATAGGTTAGACTTGAGTGCTTACAAATTATAATTTTCATTAAATAATCTGTCTTTTAAGCCCCTCATATGTGAAATGGGACTGATCATGGGTTTATATGTTACAGGAATCTGAAGTAGTACATTTTTAAGAAAATAATAGGATAAAGCATTATCCTAAGAAGGGTAGTGTTGTCTGCTTTGGGCTGGGGAGATGTCTAAACAGATAAAGCAAAGTGGTTGTCTGTCTGTCACCTCTGTGCTCAGGAGGTGGGGAGAAGGGACCACTGGGGCAAGCTTGCTAGGTGAGCCAAATCAAATGGATGAGCTCAGGTTCAGACAAAAACCTTGCTTCAGGAGTTAAGTCTGAGAATGGTCAAGGAAGCCACTTTATGTCAACCTCTGGCTTACACACACACACACATGCACACACACACATGCACATGTAAGTACACAGTAACATGAATGAATGCACGCACTACACTCAGACACAAACAAAAATATCTCCCTCCAAATATTTTTAAGCAGTAGAGATGTGTCATTATGGACATTTAAGAAGCTAGATGTGTTCGTGGCCATCTTCAGCTGCAATGACTCTCCTCTTCCATGATGCATGCAGAGGCTGCAGTTCTCTACAGAGCACATTTGCTGTTTCTGTGAAGCAGCAGCCAGTCAAAAGCAAGTTTGCACAGAGCTTTGCTTTACTGTTGAACTCATGGAGAAACCTGGAACCAAGACTCTGTATGCTCTCAGAGGACAAAGGTTATAGAGAAAGCCAGCCAGCCAGCAGTGTTTGGGATTCCCTGAATTCCAGGGCTGAGGAGAACTGTGTGTCTTCACCGGTTGATTCTGGCTAGGCACGTTTTTCATATAATCCGTGTAACAGGATGTTGTTAATGTCCAATTTTTACCCTGATATAGGGAATCATATACAAGCTCATATACAAGCATGGATGCGGCTTTGTCTAGAAACATTTTTTCCTTCTTTATAATTTCTTCTAAAAAATCTTAACTACATTATGAGCCTCTAATCTATATGATATGGATAATATTTACTCTCCTAAGCAGTTGTTGCTGGTCATGGTGGTGGTAGTGGGACATGACTCCTTCAAATAATGAGTTCAAACCCTCATATGTAGAATTAATAGATCCAAAAAGCACTGGCCAGGAAAACAGTGACCAGGGCATTTGTGTAGAACAGTGAGGTCCATGAGCCTCAAGTCTAGTTTATTGTAGGCACAGTGCATCCCTCATCCTAGGTAGGACATCATTTCCTATGACAGGACCATTGTTTACCTCTTGGACAAACTGAGTGTCATTTAAATTCATCTGCTTTATACTTGAAGTACTTGAAGGCAGTAATTTTCAAAGTATGCCCCACTCCCCCAGAACCACTGCAGCTCTTGGAAACTAGTGAAGATACCTGTTACAAACCCACTGTGTAGAGATAACCTCGGAGTTCATCTGGATTATATGAGTACTCCAGGGCATCCTGATACTACTGGAGTTTGAGAACCCCTTTTTAAGGAAAGCAAAGGGAAAGGAGGTGTTTTATGCACAGGAATGACCATAGTGTGTTGCAGACTCCAATCTAGTGCTTGAAGCTGGTAATCTCAGTGTACAAAGGGAGATGTGGAGTCGGTACCTCATACTACATGTTCCTGATGTGGGATATCCTTCTCTTTATGTGTCGCTTTTATTGGTTAATGAAAAAAGATGCTTTGGTCTATGACAGGACAGAATATAGCCAGACTGGAAGGGATAGAGAGAAAGAAAAGGCAAAGTCAGGGAGACAACATGTAGCTGCCAAAGGAGAAGAATACCACCAGAAACTTACCAGTAGGCCACAATCTCATAGTGATACATAGATTAGTAGAAATGGGTTAACTTAAGATGTAAGAGTTACTTAATAAGCCTGAGCTAGTAGGCCAAGCAGTATTGAAATTAATATAGGTTCTGTGTGATTATTTGGATCTGGGTGGCCAGGAACAAAAGAACAATCTCTGCTTACATGTTCCCTAGAAATAAACTATCTTAAATTTGTGGTGTGTGTGTGTGAAGGAGACGTTCATGGGTGTAGATAAGGACACACCCATGCTAATATACTTAGGGTAATGGTCCTGGCTTTTGAGACATAGTCTCTTTGCTGAGGTTAGCCACGCTATCTGACCTGGTAGCTTCTGGAGAGTCCCTTTTTTCGGGTTCTCTACCCCAAGATCACAGACACTCACATTGCTGCATCCAGACTTTATGTGGGTTCTAGGGATCCAAACTCAGATCACCAGGTGTGTATAGCAAGGGTTTTACCTGCTGATCTATCTCCCCAGCCCAGAAGTTGTTATCTTTGTAATGGCTTCAGCTAGTTGTGGTCTGTTACTGTCAGTCTTCTGGCTAGTGGGTAAGGAAATTTAAACTAGTTAAATAAAGGAAAGAAGAAAGAAAGAAGAGAGAGAGAGAGAGAGAGAGAGAGAGAGAGAGAGAGAGAGAGAGAGAGAGATAAGAAGGAAGGAAGGAAGGAAGGAAGGAAGGAAGGAAGGAAGGAAGGAAGGAAGGAAGGAAGGAAAGGAGTTTTATTAAAACATCCAATATCAGAACAACTGGGCAGTTCATATGACATTTCTCTTATATCCTATGATCTGTTGGGACCAAATTGAGTCCTGGCCTTCAGCTGCTCTTCCCTGTCTAGAGCCTTCTAATTGAAGTTACTAGAAGCTGTGCCTAGCCTAGAAGATTAGAGGATGGGATTTTCACCTGTTGGACATTGACTGCAGGGTATTTAAGCCTCCATGGTGCTATTAAAGACGGGCTTTTGTACCAGCGATTAGAGGTCCGTGTGTCGGTCTGTTTGTGTTTCCTCAACCTCCAGCCCCTTGCCCAAAGCTCGAACTGGATTCTAGCATAGAGAGTGCAGACGGGGGCCACAGTGCGTGGCAATGATCCCCAGATTTCCAGAAAAAAAACTTGAAAATGTATAGTATTCTCTCAAAAAGGGCTAATCAGTGACTTAAGTTTGACATTCTGTGTGAACATACAATTACTTTAGTAACTGGTCTCTTAAAATTTTAAGATTTTTGAAAGCTTAGAAAGCTGGTGTGTGTGTGTGTGTGTGTGTGTGTGTGTGTGTGTGTACGTGTGTTTAATGATCCACCTATAAACTTGTGAATGAGTCTTACATACTAAAGTTATCTAGAGGATTAGTTTGCATGCAGGAGGTAGTTTAAGTAAAAATAAAACAGAACTAAGTATTTGAATTCTTATGCATTCTTCAGTACCTGGGAATAATATGTGTGTTATTTATGCCAATGTCCATTAGGTTTTTATGAGTTAAGATTTTGTTTGCAATGCAAATCTCCATGTCTTTCATTGGCATCCTAGCTTACTACAAAACCAAACAAACAAACCATTTCATTTTCAACAGAACTGTTTTTCTGAAATATGTTTACATGGGATTTGTTATTGTACCAAATATGGAGCTGTGTTAAACAAACCACTGACAACAGAGATGAGGTGTGGCAATAGTGGCAATGATTCCTCCTGGTGATTTCTGACGT